CGTAGTCGTAGTCGTGGTCGTAGTCCTAGTAGTAGTAGTAGTAGTAGTAGTAGTAGTAGTAGTAGTAGTAGCAGCAGTAGTCCCCGTAGCCACAACACCCCAAAGAAAACAAAAATAAACAAAAACCCACCTGCAGCTCGTTCCATAGAGACTACTCCAAACCATAGAGACTACTCCAAACCCCGCATTCCTCCGAGAAGGCGTCTCAACAGCAAAATTTAGAACACCTCTCAGCCCTACACAGCTTGTTCAATAATTTGTATATCAACTTTTTGAACCCTACTATAAGTCCAGCAAATTGCCTCTCCCAACCTCAAAGCCTCAGACTCAAATCTCTTCCCCTTAGAACCCCGTCACCCGGATCCGAACCTCTTAAGCCTAAATCTATCAATCTCCTGATCTAGGGACCAGACAGGCTTACAGGGAGCCACCCCACCTGCCAGGGTCTGAGATGGCTTATGGCTTATGGGCTTTGCTCAGTGCTCAGGGTTTAGAGTTCATGCGCACGACTGGATTTGAAGGATGGGCGGGCGAGGGTTCTGATTGTTTATATAACCCCTGAATATACTAGGGTCGTCCGTGTGGACGTGGCCAAAACGCCCGTCCAGCCCGAGATCTGCGCACACTTAATTTGCCGTCCCCAAACGAAGTTCGCCGGCGCAAGTGAGGACTCCCAATTCGAGGCCGTAATCCGTGTGCTTGCCAGCCAAGGCCATCTGTTTCTTTGCATATGCAGGCACTGCGCCTGCACGCGAAAATTGGGTTACCCAATCCCGTTGACACGTGATCCATCCCCATGAATGTAACATCGGCTACTGCCTCGTTGTCTCTAAGTTCTACGCGTCATGTGCCACCAACGTTTCGTGGGATCTGCCTAGGGCATTGACCTTTACCATCATACTGGACCATGCATCGTGCCAGAGAAAGCAAACGTCTTGACGCAGGTACCGCTCTCTAGCAGCGAGGTTCAGTGTTTTTTGAAATGTATGGGCCTTCTGAGCTTCGCAGCCCGACAGCTGCACGCTCCAGACTTATCCAACTGGGGATGCAGGGTTCAGGTCACAACTCGAAGCCCAGAGCGTCACAAACATCTTACACACCAAAACGGACCCGAAACTCTCCAAGCCCCAAGCCCTGATTCTGGATTCCGAAGCTGAAAACTCTGAGCCCCACCATGCATTACACAAGATCAACAGCGACAACAGCAGGAATAAAAGGAATGGGAACAAGAATGCACCTAACAGCGACAGCCGGAGTAGAAAGGCAATACCCAAAACCTGCCGCAAAGGACACGGCTGAGACCATGCACAAAGCTACCGGCCTGCAGCAAAGGATCGCAAACCACATGCCAGCTCACCTCAGCATATTTGATGGCCATCATCCTCAGCCTCATCTTCATCATCATTGTATCCTTTTCATCGTAAGAGTGGCAGCAGTTTCTGAGCGGAGCAGAAATGCCAGATTTTTGGCAGAAGCTGTAGCGGCAGTTTTTGTGATAGCCGCAGTGGTAACAGTAGCAACTTCTGCAGCAGTCACAGGTAGGGAACCTGAGCCCCTGCATCTTCTGCAACTGCCGCAGTTATGGAGCCTGGAAGCTGCCTCTGCCCGGCCCGAATGGCGCCAGTGGTTGGCGGAGGGGGGAAGGGTGGCTAGTAGTAGTAGTGGTAGTAGTAGTAGTAGTAGTAGTAGTAGTAGTCGTCGTCGTCGTCGTCGTCGTAGCAGTAGTAGTAGCAGCAGCAGCAGTAGTAGTAGTAGCAGCAGCAGCAGCAGGAGTAGTAGTAGTAGTCGTCGTCGTCGTCGTCGTAGTAGTAGTAGTTGTTGT